GCGGCAACTTGTGCATTCTTTTTACAAATTTCAGCAGGATCATTTCCATTGAGACTACAACCATTTGAATAATAAAAACAGAATTAAATTAAAGTTAAAATGAAAGCGAAAAAAAAAAAAAATAAGTAAACTACATGTAATTTTTTGCCAATTTCTGACTAACAGGCATCAATTCTGACAAATCAAACATAAGGATTTCATGGCCTTTTCTGTCCAATTTAGTTGATTGGAACAATGCAACGCGATCAGAGGAATCTAAAGCGTCATGTAATTCACTCTAATTTCCAAATAATGATAATTAACAATTAAGTTTATTTATAAATGTATAAAGTATCTTGAATTTTAAACTATTACCTTTGACTTATAGTAAAATGAATGCAAGTTATATAAGTCTTCTTCACCTTCATAAGTCGAAACGCCATCATCAGCTACATTATGCGTTACAGGCATCGGGAGCCGTGAAATCATTTTATACTGTTCCCATGAATCATAAGATCGAGGATGTGTGTAGGTATAACTACTAGTCTGTATTTTGCAACTAGATCCTGTTGAATTGTTTGAATCGACCTGTGTAATTGAATGACTAACATCCGGGGATCGGAGGTTCGAGAAGAAACATACCAATTGTCCTGTAAATAAATAACGATAATTTAAGTTGTAATCTTGAAAAAACAGTGCAAAAAAAGTTAGAACCAACCATTTATTGAAAACCGTGCGCCGCATATTACTGGAAAAGGAATGTTATGATCATCCTTATCCCCAAGTAACAGCGTCAGATTTTTATCATATGATGTTCTCCTGTTAAAATTTATAAGATTTTCTTCATCAGAATCTTCTCTTCCATATCGATCTCGTCCATCGTTGTCTTGAACTTGTTCACCAAGCAAGTAACGTATGCAAGTTTCCATACACGGCCTTTTCTCAGATACGTGGTTAATAGCAATGCGGTTTAGAATTTGTGACATATGCGTTCGATTCATTATAGATATCATGCCAGTTTTATGAATAACAAAAGTTGGTGCGGCTTTGTCGGGATATTGTGGAGGAAATGATATATTTATACGAATAAATGCAACACCACTATCAGACCATGGACCTTTTAGGCTTATAGTATAATTTCCTGCATTTAACTACTTGTAATAATTAACAATATGTAATAAAGTGTTATAATAAATAAAAAAAAAAAATCTGTAATATGATAGTTGATACAAATAATCGTACCTTAGTAACCTTCACATTAGGGAATTTTCGTGATATTTCAACCATTTCTTCGTGCATATTGGCCGGGACACCTTTATCAGTATGACCTTCACCACTGGATTTAACCATCCTTACATTTTGCATCCACAAAAGAGGAGTAACAGTACGACGCTCAGCTCGATGTATCCCAGCAGCCGCACCCATGTATCCTTTTATATTACTACCACCGGTAGAAGCCCCAGAAGGACGCAGTCTCGCGGTTGTATTGATATAGTTTCCGGGGAAAACTCGCAGTTTGGAAGTGATCCCAGAAGTCGCAAATGCTGAAGAAGTCAAATGGTTGCCAGATGGTGGATCGCGATATGTAAACGT